GCATGGCCATCTCGCTTTATTCAACTCGGCCTCTCTCTCCCAAGTCCGAGGTCCGCGAAACTCGATCTATCGGAAGTTGCACTTGCGTCTCCTGACGGTCTTCTATACCTCTGGAGCTAGGGCCTCAAATGTGCGGCCAAATAATCAAATGGTTGATGTCCAGCATTTCATTCCAACATGCCTTGGCATTTATAAAAAGAGTCTTAGATGTCCCAGCAGAGAATAATCAACAAGTGCAGGCAGGGCATGTTTTCATTGTTTGGCTCTGTAGATGGGGTCTTTTCAATGTCATTCAATGTCTTTCAATGTCTCTACAAACTGGGGGTACCCCCAAATCATCCAAGTATTTGAGTATTGAAATCCATGGTCACTTGGGAATCCATGCGGATCCCTCTAAGAATCTCCGAATATTTACCCAACATCCCGAGGTTGCTACCAGACGAAGGAGACACAGACTCCCGACAAAGCCTTTGAGGTAGGCTGTGTGAAGTGCCTGGAAGTGGACTGGTCAGGCCGTAGTGCTCTAACCTTCGGAGCCTTCGGAGAGGCGGGAAAATGGGCAAAAAAGTGACATCGTGACATCCCCTTTTCAGACAAAAAGTGACAGACTCAGCACTTTAGCACAGCACTCTTCGTTAGGTGAAATTGATGCCAGAGATTGATGGGGGGCCAATGCCTGTCGCAGGATGGGGAGGTGAAGTTTTGGAATTTGACCATGGGTCAGTGTTTGCGAGCGGCTTGGCTGAAGCTCATGGATTTTACATAGGTCATATGGATTCATATGGTACATACACACATGCAAAATCAATAGCAACTATTCCATTTTGATGCCCCAAAGTTGCACACAGAGGGACTGATCTATGTCATCTCTTATTTGAGCAAAGCCATATTCAGGGTTGGCAGGCTTCCCAGGATTTGGGCTCCAAGAAGTAAGGGTATACCCGAATTCATGGCAATTTCATATAATTTCATCAGGAAGAGTCGGCCTCCTCCAAGGTGTTGGGGCATTCCTGCGGCTTGGTCAGCTCCATTTGTGCCTCTGGGATCGCGCTGCAACCGACTTGGCCAACACCAATTTTTTTATAGCAAATCGCCGCAGTTTTTATGGCAAAATCATGCAAAATCTACTAATTTTGCAGGAAAAAAATTGGCAAAGCCTCTCGATGTCGTGCTTGAGGTCAACTGGCCTTTGGCTTTGGCTGTCACTGCGGCCGGGCGCAGTGTGAAACTTTGGGACTTGTGCCGGGGGCGTTGTTTTCCAGCTGCAAGCAGCAGATTCTGCTGGTGAACCCACAGTAAACCCATGCTAAACCCATGTAAACTAAGTGATAAATTAAGATAATTCATAACACTACTACCCATTGGCGACCGTTTATGCCACCCATTGCTAGTCATACTGGGGTATGGTTTATAACTAGGTTTACCCCATGCCTTTTGTTGTTAGTTTATTTCAATTTGGCACCCTTTGCAATTGACTTGGAATTGCCACGCCCAACACAGAAAAATTCACACAGCATCCAACACCAATTGGGTGGGACAATTCATGCCACTACCTCAGAGAAAAAAACACACTTCTGAAATATGCAATTGCCAAATCTCTTATGTTGGATCCTGCATGATCTGCATGTCAATCAAAACAGCACCAGTTGGTTCCTTTGGGTTCTGCCTAGGTTTGCAAACTTTGGACCTTGGCCGCCTCGCAACTCTTGCAGTGGATTGGCAGAAACATCGACTCCTGGCTGCTGGAGAGGACAGCCCGGACCCGAACTCAGCAGATGTTGAGCATAGGATTTGGGGGCATTTTGTTGGATCATGTTTCATTAAAGCGTCAAGATGCGCCAAGATATGATGAGTGTCCGACTTTCACCCATGTCCATGTGAGAAACCTATAGAAATCCATGTGAGATCGACGGAAGGGTGAGCTCACAGGACTCGATTCTCCGGCTGCGAGAAACTTTTCGACGTGGGAGGTGCATTGGCAGCTTGCAGGGGTCGCTCGGCAGCGTGCCAGAGGCCCAAGTTATTAAGAATTGGTAAAACATGTTTTAGCATGTTTTAGCTGCAACAGGCGCCGGAGAGAGAACTTGTTACGCCATTTTTTCTCTTGGAGCTCCTAAACGGGAGTGATCATGCTTTGGATGTCAGAGTGCTCCCGTCGCAAGGCACATGGATACGATCCTATGTGTTGCAGTGGATTGGGCAGGCTCACAAGCATTGCCACTTGGCCTTGTACGCGAAAAAAAGACTCATGGCTCAGATCTGGGGGTTTGGGTCTGTTTGGGTACCCCAAAATGATCCAGTTTATAGATGTTTATAGTGGAAAATCCTTTTAACATGATAAAAATATGGATGATTTGGGGGTACCCCCATTCTAGGAAACCTCCATCTGTTCATTAGGGGCCTTAGGGCCTACTAGCCATGGCTTACCGAGGAGTGGCGGCAGCGACCGCCGCTTGATTCTGTGGGACTTGGCGGAGTGGAAGGTGCTGTCCTCAGACAACGTGTCAATTGGTAAACCCAAAAGTACACCTGTTCCTATTGAAGTAATACATCTGGGGATTGTTGAGTAGTGATAATTTCTATTGAAACCTTTGACTAGTAGGGATTCCCAACATGTCCCAACCATCATGAACAGGATTGGTAATCCTGACGGAATTGGGGATTGTTCCCATGTCTATTGATTGTATTTTAGGTTCGCAAAATTCCATACCATTAAAGATCCCAACATGTCCCAACCATTTCTGGTAAAATGGGGCGGGAAAGGCTTATCATTGGATTTAAAACATTAGGTCCTTTGGACGATTGACTTCAGACGAAGAGAGGTGAAAGGACAGGCTCAGCTTGGTTTTGCTTGAAGGAGCTGCGTGCTGCAGGTTCAAAAAACCCTCCGGGGACATGACGACGCAGTGCGCTGTGTAGAAGTAGTGTCTTGGACATGTGATCGGCACCCGTAAATAGGTGACAGGCATATGGTGGCCGAAGACTTGCAGGCAAAGGAATAGATATATGTCCCGCAAAAAAAAAAGAGTATCTCACACATATCTTTTACAGTGAATATGATGTATGTTCATAATGAGTAACTGACGGAGTTTTTTGTTGGACCATTTACCACTGTAGTATTGCTTCGCCGATTCACCTCGGTGGGTTGTATCCAAGAAAAATCTTCACAACCGTCTGGGGACGACCCCCTGAAGATGGCATCTTATAGAAACATACACACACAAAGATTTATATGATTATATAGATATGCAATACACATGTATTTATATAATTGTGCAGCATCTGTTTTTATCAAATAGTTTTGGGAAGATGTGGAAGATGTGCCCATGCACCCAGTAAAATTTAGATGCATGGCAAATTACAAAAACTGTTGTTTACATTGGCGTGCATTAAAATCATGAACCATTATCTAAACATTTTATCTGGTTGGTGGTTTGGAACATTTTTTCCATGATATATGGGATAATCCTTCCCATTGACTAATATTTTTCAAGATGGTTAAAACCACCAACCATTAAACATTTTATGGTTTGATGCTAATTAAATGACCACCCGTTTGTGGGTCCACTGGCATCCCGATGTGCTAAAAAGGATTGGAAGCAGCGGCGTGCTATCAGTGGCAGTTTCGATCGTAGCATCATTGCATGGGACCTCGACACCGGGGAGGCGGTGGTTTGTTGAAGCAGCTGGTGATTGAAGAGTAGCATGGGGATGGTGGTTCTTGATGTCCAAGGGTGTACCACGAAGTGTACCACCTGGTTTAATGATGTTTAATGGGGATTACATTGATCCACTAGGCTAGCAGATGGACTAATATAGGATGAAATGCCATCCATCTCTGAGAATCCTGGCCGCAAACCAGGAGGTTTGGTGATGAAAGTGCTTCGAAGTCTGGAAGTTCCCTAGTCAATCCCTAGTCGTCATTTGGCCGCTGCTTCGATTCAAATTCCGTTTCAGCATCACAGAGAAGATAAGATAATATATATATAATTTTAATAAAATAGTGGTATATAGTGGTTTTCTATTGAAATTTTAGTTGCAGTTCAAAGGTCAAGAGTGTTTCTTCTGTCTTTTCGGCTTGTGGCTTGGTAACTCGCTAGGCGGCGGCTCGTTTCTGTGGTCATAGTGATTGGGTTTGCTGCATCGCTATGGCTTGGACTGCTGGGCACTGCATCAGTGGAGCACGTGATGGGACACTGAGGTGACGACCCACGGGGATGGTGAGTTCGTCACGGCTCACCGGCTCATATCTCCATTTTCCCATGCCTTAAACATGATAAACATGGGTGTTCATAAAGTGTTTACCAGCGCCTAGGAACTCAAATTTGCGAGTTTTAAACAGCCAGAGTTTCAAATCTTGTAGGCACGGGTTCTGTGACTTAGTGTCACCAGAACCATTTGAAGGCATAGATAATGAATCATTTCCTGCACTGTGCTCCAAGATGGGCCATTACCTCACCAGTGCCTCAAAGAAGAAAGGCACTTGCAGATATCCAAAGCAGTTCATGGCCTCTAATTTTCCCTTCGTTGTCCAATTGTCCATGCTTGCGGATGTAGCGCAGGCTTTGGGATGTGCCTACGGCTTCTTGGAGAATCAAGTCCATGCTTGGGCGAAGTCTATGTGATAAACCCAGCAATAGACCATCCCCAATTCTTACCAACCATGGGTAAGAACTATGCAATATTATAATATATAGTATATATAGATCGATAGATTATATACATGTTTGATAGTTCTAAGCCATCCCCAGTTGGAGGAAGAACCAACTAATAAAATAAACCATTGGCCTTAAGACCATGTCAATACAATCAAGAAAAATCAAGAAAAAATATAAACCAATTTGATGTAATTCATATAACCATTGGGCTTCCCAGATCGCCACTGAGGCTTCTTGTAGCCTCACCATGGATGGTCATACAGGTGCTGTATGGACTGTTGCTCGACTCTGAAAGATGCTACTCCACGGTCAAGAAGTGACCCTTGCTTGGGTCCATACTTGGCAACTAAATAGCATCATATAGTTTGAAAACCAAGTTTTAATATGTACATGTTCTATAATTAATATGTGTTTTTTTTCTCTCTCTCTCTCTCTCTCTCTCGCCCTCTATATCTCTCTCCAAGTATTCACGTATGGAATTGGTGTGCGAGCATTTGCAGTCTGATCAGAATAGATTCAATTTATATAATATATGTTCAATGATTCAGCATGATCATCATTGCACCCATCCTGACTTTGTTGCCAACCTGCTTGACTCAGGTAGCCATGAGCTTTCCAGATGCCTTTAGCAGTGGCCAGGACGGCCTTGTACGGCGTTGGTCCCTGCAGGATAGCTGCTGTCTACAGGAGTTCCAAGCGCACCAAGATGCAGTGAGGTGTCCAGCCGAGTGAGTAGCTCTGGTTATCTCTGGTGGTTCTAACTGGTTCCCACCAACCAGACTATGGTTGTATATTGTTTTCATCCTAGGCTGAGTCACTGAGGATCCCAGATGACGAGCATGTTTCTTGGAGTGTTTCAAGGGCAGTCGATATGATGGTTGCCATGATGCAGTGATTGATGGGCAACGCTTCGGAGGTGCATGGAGGTGGATTGGCAGTCGCAACAGCTGTTGACTGGGAGTTTCGATCTATCCTTGCGACTATGGCCTATCGATTCCCAGGTGTCTTGATATGTCTTGATCAGATATGTGGTACGGCATTGGTGTCGTCGTTGCAGGGATGATGTTATAGAATTCCCAAATTGACTTTCCATGAGTAACATCAAAGGAACTATCCATATAGAAATTCCAGTTTTAGAGTATCCTTATAGAAACTTTCCATTTTTTCCACTTGAGAGCAATGTGAAGCTGCTGGGTGTTGGGTGGTGTCCTTCGAAGTTCGTGCAACGTGCATTGCCCGTTGAGGACTACATCCAAGAGTTTGAAGGCCACAAGCGAGGTCTGGGCTTTCAGACAGGGAAATTTTAAAAAAACATGGTGGATAAGATTGGTTTTCCGAATGGTGATGAGTAAATTTACTGACAGATGTTCATTAAGTATTTAATTTTATGTTTCATATTCTGGTATTGGTCCAGTTTCTGTTTGTCCTTGGCTGCCTTCTGCGTTTGGCGATGACAGGAGTGACCTCCTGTAGTGTTGATTGGAGTTCCGGCCTGGCAGTTTCTGGAAGTGGCAACCTCAGCTGTTGGCACATTTTTACAGTTTTCCACCCAGCATCAACCAATCAATGGATTGGTTTAAGGGAAAATCTACAGGAAACCATAGATTTTCCCATGAAATATGGGGCTTTCCTGTAAATTTCGGAGTCGGAGTTGATGGTTTGGGGATTTGGGGATTCTCTATTCGGGAAAAGATTCAGAATCACCTTGTGGAAATTTGTGGAATATCACCACAATTCCAAACCACCCAGCGGAGCAAATTAGACTAGAGTCAGTCAAACTCCAATCCTGACCCATTTTTCGCGGCCAAATTTGAAGCAACTTGGGCGACTTTCCTGTAGATTTCCCCAACAAGACCAATCCATTGATGTCAGGCTTCTTGTTTGTCACATTATCACATTTTTGATGCTTAACCCTTATATATATAATATAATATATAGTAGATACATATTATCATATTGGATGATATTGGAGCATATTGGATGATGCTGGATGGTATTGCCATATACTGCCCATGATTTTGTTTATTCTTCAACATCTTGAAAAAGCCTTGGCAGGTGAGGATTGCTCCATCCGGCTCTGGGACCTTTTTGCAGAGGATGATTCTGGCGACCTTCTTTTGGGGGGTCATGATGGGGCCGCACCTCGGTCCTAGCAGATACCCCAATTTCTGGGGAAGATGTTGATCGATTTTTAGGGGAAACAAAGGGAAATAATTTGTCAGGTGACAAAACCCACATGGAATGGAGCTGTCATGAGGTGTTCGAAAATTGGGGGATATTGGGGGACATCGGACTCAAGTTATCATCCAAGTGATTGGTAATGTTGAAGACATTTTCATGGGCAAGCTAGTTGCTTTGGGGCACTACATTTCGAGAAACACCCATATGGATGTTGGTCAACATCGTTAAAAACACCTCCCCAAAATGGACGGTTTAATATGGTTTAATGATATTAAGGTTCAACATGGTAGGCTTTCTGTGGATACCATGTGGTAGCCCAATTTTGACTCATAGCCGATTAGTTCCCGGGTGGCTTTCCGTCAGCTGCGATGAGGTGCTGTGTATTTCGATGGGATGTGGCCCCTCTATACGGCCGCGCAAAGGCCACGGATGTTCAAGTGGAGCCTTTCAAACAATGACAGACTGACAGAAACTGATCATTTTGAGGAAGACTTGCTGGTGAAAATCGTAAAACAATATCTCAATATGATATTTCTTAAGGGTGGTCACAGCTAGATTAAGCTATACTATTCTATGCCTGTCTTCTGTGGTTTCTGTCTCTGACAGCAAGACCTTTCCCGCAAGGTTCAAAAGAAATAGCTCCTGCTTGGGAAGAACAGGTCATGCGAACTATGGCTGGACGAGTTGTTTTTTAGTACCTGTACTTCTTGCTTTACGGTGCCAGTGCCTTGTATTACTGAGAAGGCTGGATGGGACGAAGGCGCGAATGAAAAACTTTCAGACATCAAATCCTGCCTGGGCATGTTACGTTATGTTTAGTGATCCCCCGTCAATGTGTTTGTTATTTTGGATGGCTACCTCATAATGCTTTGTTAGGCGATTGTGGCATTCGTTTGCTCACATTTTGTCAACGATTTTATGGCTTGGCCCTTGTCCGTCTAATGTGTCCAGCGCTCTTGCCGAGCAGTTGCTAAGCCTGTTGCAGGCACCTGGGAGCATGAGCCATCATTCAGCTTCAAGCGTTGCTGTCGCAGCAGACATCAGATGGTGGAGATGAAACGGGCACGCGCTGGTGCCAAAACTGCAACTGGTGGTTTCGAACATTTGGCGTTGTTCAGCCCCATTCAGGATGATGCCCATTGAGTTATTGTTAATTATAATATATGATCGAAGGAAGTTTAGAAGTCAAACTTCTGACAATATGGACAGATTAAAAGCAGAGCAGGGAAGAGGCAGAGAGAAGAGGAAGATTAGAAGAAAGAAGAGTAGAAGAGAAAGAGTAAGAAGAAAGAAGATGCAGATGCGCGAAAAGGTAGGAAAGTCGCGAAACACTGAGGAAAGTCGCGAAACACTGTGTTTTTCCAATGATTTGTGGCTCCGGAGGGTCGAAAAGTAGGCTCGCCAAAGCGGCGGGTGCGGAGCCAGCTGGCCAGATGAGTGATGAAAAATTGCACGCCGTTGTGGCGCGAAGCACATTTCGAAGTGAAAATGTACAAAACACCTCTGCGTCGGACCACTTTTGGAAGTTGAGATGTGGAAAAAGCGCACGCCGTTGTGGCGCGAAGCAAATTTCGAAGTGAAAATGCACAAAACACCTCAGCGTCGGACCACTTTTGGAAGTTGCGATGTCGAAAAAGTGCACGCCGTTGTGGCGCGAAGCACATTTCCAAGTCAAAATGTACAAAACACACAATGTACGGACCATTTTTGGAGTTCAGATGTCGAAAAAATGCACGCCGTTGTGGCGCGAAGCACATTTCGAAGTCAAAATGTTAAAAACACCAAGGGTTCGGACCACGTTTGGAGGTTCAGATGTCGCTTCGCTTCGCTTCACTGCATGACACTACATTTTACACTACACTACAATCCACTACACTACATTACACTACACTACACTCCACAACACTACAACTACAACTACACAACTCCACTACACTCCACTACACTCCACTACACTAATTTACACTACACTACATTACACTACACTACACTCAATTGCACTACACTACATTACACTACATTTTACACTACCTTCCACTACACTTTGCTACATTACACTACACTACACTCCACTACAACTACAACTACAACTACACAACTACACTCAACTACACTCCACTAGACTCCACCACACTAAATTACACTACATTACACTACACTACATTACACTACACTACACTCCACAACACTGCAACTACAACTACACAACTACACTCCACTACACTCCACTACACTCCACTACACTCCACTACCTTAAATTACACTACAATAGACTACACTACATTACACTGAATGACACTGCACCACAGATAGACAGGTAGACAGATAGAGAGATAGATAGATAGATAGATAGACAGATAGACAGATAGACAGATGAAAGCGAGAGAGAGAGAGAGAGAGATATAGATAGATTGATAGATAGACAGATAGATAGATAGATAGACAGATAGACAGGCAGACAGCTAGACAGATAGACAGATGAAAGAGGGAGGGAGAGAGAGAGAGAGAGATAGATCGATAGATAGATAGATAGATACATAGAAGATAGATAGGTAGGCAGGTAGATAGTCAGAGAAAGAGAGCGAAAGAGAGGAGACCTCAAGCACCTTTCGGTCCATCAGTGGATTGGCTCTGCCATCCGTGATTCACAACAACCAACCTCTCCTATAGGTTTCCTATTTTTGAAACTTCCGCCACCGCCTTGTGCGGTACTACTGGTATTATATGCACATGTAAAATGTATAATACATGTGTGATTCCACGCTGTCGTACGCATGGTCTTAGAGAAGCCGGGTTGTGAATGACTGCTGTGTCACGCACCTTTTGGCTTAAACCTTTAGGGCCCTTGAGCGGTTCGTGGCGATGAACAAAATGATCCAGATTGATCCAGCCAAGATTCAAACTGGTAGCGGAGCAGGTTCCGGAGGGTGATCCCCGGGATTTGACTCTCACGGTAGCTCGCAGATCGAGGAAGGTGAGATTGTGTGTGTTTGTGTGTGACAGCTTAGTGCTGATCAAAGACCTACGACACAGCTTTGCTGATCAAGAAGAGGCTGTATCAATGTCCCTTGCAGGATTGAGGTGAGTCTGTGACCTTTAGCACGGCACCTCAAGAGACCAAGTCTGGTTCGTACATCTACTCTGGAAGCCCCAGTGGATTCCATGAGTGGGAGTTCAGGAGTGCGTGTGGAGCTCCATCAGGAAGAAGGTTTTGGAACAGAAGTCCAAGTGTGCGTCAACTTCACCGGGACGAGGACTTGCTGAGAGGAGCCCCGTCGTTGGACGAGGAGGAGATGATGGAACCCAGGCGACTGATGCGCTGGGAGTGCCGAGGAGACAAAGAGAACAGAGCGATCCTGGAAGCCCTGAAGATGGACAAGGTGGACAAGATGGACAAGATGGACAAGAAGATGACCAGCAGGAGGAGGAGCGTTCAGACTATGCTTCATCTCGTGCTGCGCCTAGCTTTCCTGGCCCAGTCGAGGATGAACAGCTGTCAGGACAGATTGATTCTCTGAGGGCTGAATTGGTGCAGAAGGTGCTGGAAGGCCTGACAGGCGATGCTCACTTAGCAGCTCAGGACCTTGGAGTCGGGACCCTCATGAAAGATGGAGGAATTCAAACCTTGATTGCAACCCTGAAGAAGATGATTTTTCCTTTGCAGTTTCTAGAAGCCAAGGAGCTTTTCCGAGTAGGACAGATGCAGCATGGCCCCTTGTCACGCCAGACAGGGGAGCCAGCGACTTCCTTCATCTCAAGACGCTGCAGATGGTGGCGCCAAGTGAAAGAGCTTGATTCCAACATGCTGATTTCCGATCAGATGCGTGCCGGGCTTCTCATAGAAAGCGTTGGCTTGACCAAGCAGGAGCAGCTCATGATCAGAACTGCTTCCAAGAGTCATACGTTTGATGACTGTGCAGCCATTCTGCCTGAACATCATGGGGGAATCCACTTGAAGGATTCCAGGTCCCTTGCGCCACAGTAAGTCCAGTTCCAACTACCCCCAGAAGAAGGGACAATCCAAAGGACTGCAGAAGCCCTGGTATGGAAACAACCGCACAGCCCATTGCGGACAAAAGCCAATGAGGAGACCTGGCATGAGCCAGAGGAATATCACGGAGAAGGTGAATACGAAGAACACTACGATGAACATGGGCACATCGCCCACCTGAGTCCACTGAGTGGGACTACGTCGAAGATGATGACACTGCATGAGGCTCCAGCTGATGGGTTTGATGACCTTGCAGAAGCTGCCCAGCAGCTTTATGCAGGTTACATGGCCGCTGGCACCCAAAAGGGGAAGACCAAGGGTTTCAAATGCAAGGACAAAGGCAAAAGCAAAGGTAAGCACATTTTCCGGACACAGCTCAGCGTACAGGATCGTGCCAAGCGTTTGGCAGAGCTAAAAAAGTTCGTTCCAAATGCCTCCAATGTGGAAGCACCCGCCATTGGGCAGGTGATCCTGCTTGCAAATTTCCCAGGGATCCAAGCCTGGTGTCGGATATCTTTTGCAATCAGTGATGAGGAGTCGTCTGCAGGTGAGTATGGTGTTCTGCATGTGCGTTCACGTCAGGAGAAGGAACATGCTGCGTTCCCCTTCAGCAGGTGGATCAGCCGACTCGGGTGATTTCAGCATGGTCAGTGACAACCGTAAGGACCGAGCACGTCGAACCTGTGTCCCAGCCTCTGCACAGGGAAGTGAAAGCTTGCCTGATGGGTCGGATAGCAAGTTCACGATTGGTCAACATGTTGGTTTGTCTTACCATGAAGTTTTGCATAAGTACCCTGGTTATCACCCATGGGGAAAGGAGCAGAAGTCACCTAGCAAGGGTTTGGCACACTTTTTGGATTGGGCCACTGACAACTGTGAGGTTGATGGTGAATCCCATGAAGTCATTCCACGCATGTTGCCTTTGGAAGTAGCTTCGTCTGTTGCACGCAAATGCACCCGCTTCACAGGTCTGGGAAGCAATGCCTACATTCAGATCAAGACATGTTTGGACTGTGGGCACTCAACCGGGACAAAGTGTGCGGATGTTTTTCCAGAGCCCTGAAACACACAAACATCAGAATTTGGACCACGTAGAAGTAGCAAGTTCACTGCACGTTTCTTTTGTAAACAGTGTGGTACATTTGTGGATGAAATGCCCCAAGCAGAAGCTAGGAGAAGACGTCAATTGGGGAGAGATTGCAGCAGTTCCTTCATCTGATTGAGATCAAGCCAATACCAACGAACAAGGTTGCACAAAAGCCTGGTTCGTATGGAGCGCCTGTGCTCAAGCGCGCCAAGGCACAAGCAGGCTTCCAAGGCTGCTTCGTCGCATGTCTCAAGGCACCACCTGTCAGAGTGGTGACCACGAAGCAAGCACCGCCTGAGGTCAAGAAGCCGCCACCGCCTCCTCCGCCAAGAGAGGATGATAAGACGGGTGTGATTCCACGCTGTCGTACGCATGGTCTTAGAGAAGCCTGGTTGTGAATGCTGTGTCACGCACCTTTTTGGCTTAAACCTTTAGGGCCCTTGAGCGGTTCGTGGCGACGAACAAAAGGACCCAGCCGAGATTCAAACGTGCAAATTGATCAAATATACTATATGTACATGTATCACGTCAAGTATTATACACGTCCTAGGTTTTTGATGGGTTGAAACTACCAATCAGACAAGGCAGCCCTCCACTGGAGATGTTCAAAGAGGCAGAGAGGACAGCTACACAATAGACCGTGGAACAGGGGAATCTTTGATGGTTGAAGCGAAGCCGGCGAAGCCCAAGCTGGCATCAGTGCCTGCTAAATGCGCGGCATTTCCAACGGATTGTGCACATGATTGGACAAAGGGATCAATCAACGTGTTTGATCTTGGATGTTGGCACAAGGGCTGCCACGTTTCTTCCCTTGACTGGTTCGGCAGGAAAAAACGCAACACCAAAAGCTGGGACTCTTCAAGAGATTCGCCACAAGTTGGAGCCAGAAGAGCATTGCGTTCGCTGCATGAAAGGCTCAAGCATCAACCCTGCCATGTCGCCAGCTTGATATGTGGCAAAGCGGCAAACGTTGCGCTGAAACACGCCAAATTCGCAATGTCTTTAAAAGATTGACACCAACATCCACCCAGATGAATGAGCGCACTGGACAGACATACTGAGATATATCAACAGATAGAAAAATCATGAACATTCCAGGTCCAATATATATATATATAATGAGTTGTTTAAGTTATAATACATATCATAAATGTTCTTGCAAATGCGTATCCATGCATTGTCACATTACATGATGACATGGTTCCAGTTCTTTGTTTCCATGTTTTTGTTCCCTGGTTACCTGTTTCTCAGAAATGTAGTTTGGAAGACGTACAATTCGCAAAATCAGACCTTCCAGCTTTCACTGCCAATGTCGCCACAAGCGCAGAAGAGCTACAACTCAAGCCTTGAAGGTGGATTTATGCCCCGCTGTCATAGGGGGTGCCAACCAATAGTCAGGCTATAGTCAATAGACAGGGGTTATTGATGCGGGTTTGGACTTTAGATGTTTTGGGTCAACGTTTGGGTCAACCCCGGTGGGTCACTTTGCAAGTCAACGTTGAAATGGTTGGAAATCCAAGGGTTTTTTTTAACGGCTTACGCGTCCCCAAGTTACTTATGCAGCATCACCTGACTGCAAAGGACAAGAGACAAAGTAGATTTGCACATGATAGCCGCCTGAGCCAATCAATTTCTTGGAAATCCGCAGCCCGCTCAAGCCTACAAAACCACCCCTCATCCAGCCTGCAACGTTTGCAAACAGTGGTCACACCTTTTGTATGTTCGTGGGGAAAGTTTCAAGTTTCAAGGCATCCCATTGCCCTTTCAGGGGGCTCAAGAGCCTCAGTTCAAATTGTTTCGGTTGTTGCTCCCGGCAATGGTTCAGGCAAGCTGAGCTCCACTAGTGGTGAAAGGAAGGCCATCCAGGCAGCGGTTGAGAGCTACTATGCGCTTCCAGGGGTGCCAGATGATGAGAGTCTTGAAAGAAGTCAATCTCATATTTTTTCCTCATGTTTTCTTCGTTTTGCTGCCCTGATTTTAGAACCGGTGCGAAGATATGTGCATACAAAATCAATCAAAATCTCAGATAAAGAGAAACAATGTAGATATATGATATGTATTTGATGGACGTCCTGTGCTCGCTCCTGGCTGTGAAGCAGTTGCTGAAAAATCGCCTGTTTTAAGGTGTGAGTCAGTGGATCTCCAAGACTTCTTCAACAAGAATGGCGTGATGATTCCTGACAGTCCACGGAACTGGGTCCTGCTCGCATCCTTGCGAAGGCCACTCTCAAGGAGACCAGCGTATTTTGTGCACATGCATCCGGCAATATCAGAGCAATGGTTTTGTGGAAATATTATTGTAGAAAGGCGCAACGCCCGTCGGGGAATAGTAGGAATCTCTAGTGCATTTTGTCGAAGTACTTCAGGGCCGCGTTGGTGGTCTGGTTGATCCCAGGAGTAAGCCTTCCACGGAGAAGCATGGATCTTTGTCCACCAGGCAACAACTCTTAAACTCCCAGAATTCCCTGGAGAACGCGCGGAAGAGGGCGCAATTTCAGCGAAAGGCGGGAAGTATCGGGAAGTTTGTGGTGGATGCGTCCTTTTAGAGCTTACCATTCAAGCGGTTCAAATCGGTTCAAGTATTTGTTGTTATAGTCAACTCAAATTTATTAATTTGCATTTGTTTTGTGCCTTTCACATCCACGGTTCACCCTGTCGTGCTCAGGCCACTAGCCAGTTCCAAGGCCAGGCAAACGCCTGTACTGTGAATATTCAGCGCCTGCGCCATTTGCATCTGATTTTTCAGCCATTGGAATATGTGCCATCGGGCCCAATTTTTAAGAAGCACATCGCCCAGGTCTACATGGAGGACTAACAGAGACCAAAGTTCTGGCGTCATGAAGGGTCATATGGTATTAGCATGTATTAGCTATGTTTTCCCCACATCTTTGTATGGGGTTCTTGTTTTTGGTTCTGTATCTCGCCGCCTCCTCCTCCGCCTCCTCCGCCTCCTCCGCCGCCCATCTTTTGACCACACACTGACCACACACCACTTTGTCACACACCATCTTTCACACACAACTTTGTCACACACCATCTTTCTCACACAACTTTGTCACACACCAACTTTGTCATACACCATCTTTCACACCCAACTTTGTCACACACCATCTTTCTCACACAACTTTGTCACACACCATCCTTCTCACCCAACTTTGTCACACACCATCTTTCTCACACAACTTTGTCACACACCAACTTTGTCACACACCATCTTTCACACCCAACTTTGTCACACACCATCTTTCTCACCCAACTTTGTCACACACCATCTTTCTCACAACTTTGTCACACACCAACTTTGTCACACACCATCTTTCACACCCAACTTTGTCACACACCATCTTTCTCACACAACTTTGTCACACACCATCGTTCTCACCCAACTTTGTCACACACCATCTTTCTCACACAACTTTGTCACACCAACTTTGTCACACACCATCCTTCTCACCCAACTTTGTCACACACCATCTTTCTCACACAACTTTGTCACCCACCATCGCCACGGCGTGGCAATTGGCCACATCCACCTTCGTTTCACGTGGCAGGTGTGGCACTTCGTGACATTGACGTTCCATTTGCGTGGCAGGCGTGGCACTTCGTTCCTAACCTTCCATTTGCGTGGCAGGATGTGGCAGGCGTGGCACTTCGTGACATTCACGTTCAATTTGCGTGGCAGGTGTGGCACTTGCGGTCACTTGTGGCACTGGGCTGGCTCTAGTGGCGCGCTTGGGCGCGCTTGGTCGCGCTTGGTTGCCCCGGGGCGCCGCGCCACTTTGCGTGGCAGGCGTGGCACTTGGTGACATTCACGTTCCATTTGCGAGGCAGGCGTGGCACTTCGTCACTAACATTCCATTTGGGTGGCAGGCGTGGCACTTCGTGACATTGACGTTCCATTTGCGTGGCAGGCGTGTTAGCTATTTCTTCACATGGTTATGTCATGTTATGTGTGTATAATCTGGTCGCTTTGGCTCAACATGGGAAGAGACCTTGTGCGCATTTGATAGCTACTTTTTGAAAGCGATGCTTGCATGTCTTCGCATGTTTCGCTTTGGCTCAGCGTGCATGTTTGATAAACATGTTCTGGAAGCGATGCTGGCATGTTGCGCATGGTTCGCTTTGGCATGAATAGTTGCGTTTTCGAGAAGCTGCATACATGTTTTGTACTTTTCTGGCCAGGTACTGATCCTGCATGGTCGTCGAGCCCGTGGATGTAGGACAGGCATGGCTTTAATCAGAGTTCATCGTTGCTGTGGTGCGTCTGGTTTCTGTCCGTTTTTCGGTGTTGTTAGTTTAAGAACATATCAAACATCATCAGAAAAGCTTTGAAGTCAACTTGTGAACTCCCTGATGACGTAGTTGAGTGGATTCACTGGCTGCAGGTTCATACTGTTAAAACATGTGTGTCGCTTAGCATGTTATGCGACTATGGCGGTTGTGTCATCAGGTGTCTTTCTGCAACCACATCACATTGACGGAGGTGTTGCACTTCGCTTGGTTGTGCTGCCAGCTTGGTTGAGTTTCGATGTGTTTGCATGCTCTTGCGACGGAATGCGGCTTGTTCACTCATAGTGTTGACAGACTTGCAGAATGTGAATTTCGTGGCTCATGGCCAGCGCTGAAGTGGAAATAGTGGAAACAGTGTCGAACACTGCTACACATAATATCACGACACGATGTGAGAGTTATATTGTCTACGACAGATCGGCAACGCCACACCGGAGCAGAAACAAAGGGTAGTACTTACCGCAGTCACTCGGTTATCCGATCATGTATTTCTGTGTGGAAGCGATGCTGGCCTGTTTCGACATGTTTGATAGATACTTAGTGGAAGCAGCAATGCTGGCATGTTTTACAACAAACTGTGTGCAAGCCATGTTTGGTCATGTCTCCCTTGCGCACATGCAGGAAGCGATGCTGGCATGTTTCGCTTTGGCCCAACGTGGGAAGAGGCTTTGTGCATGTTTGATAAAGACGGTCTAGAAGCAATGCTGGCATGTTTTGGCATGTTTTGCTTTGGCCCAACATGGGAAGAGGCCTTCTGCCTGTTTGATTTTTTAAAAAAATCTGGAAGTGATGCTGGCATGTTTACGTTCTTGAAGCGATGCTCGCATGTTTCCGCATGTTTCGCTTTGGCCCAACGTGGGAGGAGGCTCTGTGCATGTTTGATCAAAACGGTCTAGAAGCGAGGCTGGCATGTTTTGGCATGCTTTGCTTTGGCCCAACGTGGGAAGAGGCCTTGTGCATGTTTCATACAAGCGTTCTGGAAGCGATGCTGGCATGTTTTCGCATGTTTCGCTTTGGCCCAGCGTGGGAAGAGGCTTTGTGCATGTTTGATAAAAAACGCTCTGGAAGTGATGCTGGCACGTTTACGTTCTGGAAGCGATGCCGGCATGTTTCCGCATGTTTCGCTTTGGCCTAACGTGGGAAGAGGCCTTGTGCATGTTTGATAAAAACGGTCTAGAAGCGATGCTGGCATGTTTTTAAAGAAGCTGCATACATGTTTTGCACTTTTCCGGCCAGGTACCTTTCTGATCCTGCATGGTCGTCGAGTCCGTGGATGCAAGACAGGCATGGCTT